CAGCCAGCCTATGAAATATTAACCCAACTTAGGCCTTAAAAACACACTCAACTCTGCCTCATCCACACAGGCCAGTGATGTCCTCTAGTTCATGTTGACAAATAACCTTCATAAAGTGTTTTATAATGTTAAAGAAATAATCTTATAGCCTTTCTAAATAATGTGGAAAAGCAAATGTTTTATAACAAATTGAACAGTGCCACAATTATAGTTTAATTATATATGATTTCCCAAGATTTGGATGCTAATATCTATCCTGCAATACAAAAGTGCACAAGACAAATCAATGCATTTTTGCATGCATTTTTGTCGTAATGCTGCTTAGCAAAGGCATTAAAATATTTGTAAAACATTGTCACAGCGCTTAATACAATGCTGCATCCGGTTCACAATTACATTGTCACGATGCATAAATCTTCCTGTGACAGCAAGCAACAGGATTATGAGTGATTTCAGTTGATTGTGAGGTATTTTGTCCCCACCAGGACTCAGATTAAAGGATCCCTTACTCCCCTTATCATGTTATCTGCCCTGGTCAGGATCTTCTTTTCCAGAGGCAGTAAATTGTATACCTGTTCCTAAATGTGCTGGTCTTAACCCTTAAGGGAATCAAGTTACACTAATAGACATTGTGAGCAGCCAGACTGAACATTCTTGAACTGTGTGGCTTTATGATGCTCTTACGAAATCAGAGAGATATTTAAAATCTGATTAGATATTTGTCTGCATGGCTTCAGTACTGCATCATCAATTGTGAAATTATAAATTGTTCGACTTAAGACAAACTAGAAATTATACCAGAATATGACAAACATTTAATATGAATACATTTAAAATGAGGGAAATATTACTCTAATAAGCTATGGTTTTTAAATTATTATAATTAAGCATGAGTCATCATTTAAAAAGGAAGAAAAATAAGTTTCTTGATTGATTGTTTTTTAAATATTGTGAGGCAATCAAATGTAACAGTCATTAATGACTACCATAAAGGTCTTATCATTATTTAAATTATTTAATTTGCCTCATGTCATTGTAGTGGTTGTGGATGGTTTTGATGTCTAAATGATCTCAACATAAAATTCTACACAGAAATTCTACGTTTCTTCAAAACGAGCCTCTATAAAGAATATAAACTTGTATTGTGGTTCGAAAAAAAAATCACACACAAGCTAGGGAGAGAGAGGAAGAGAAAAAAATCATTATTACGTTGTTCCGCTTTATCTTAATTAATTTATTTATTTTATGATTTTTGGCAGTACATGACAGACAACAATTAAACTGACAGACCTCCATCAAGCTGGTTAGTCAAGTCTTGCACCAGTAACAAACCAGCTAAACCAAACAACGTTTCTTGACCACTTTAAACATGAAACATTACATGTTTTAACAGAAGAGATATGGACCTAATTCACATGGCAAATACACAGTTTTGTTACTTTTCATAAAAGGAAGTTGCAGTGAAGTTCTTAAATTGCAGCACACACATGAGCTAAACCTAACATGAACATAATATAAACACTATCTCACGTTTTGCTGATGATCTTTCCCACCTTACCTAAAAAAATTGATGACAATTCTGTTGTTCTGATCTATTTACAGAGTGTTTTGGCATCGCAAAATCTCAAAAGGCAGAGAATATACAGCTTTCATCAAGCCTTCACCAGGAATCTACCAAAAATTGTCCCACTTTTCCACAGTTCACTCTGAAAAACACCACCACAGTGTGCCACCCATATACAGTGGGTACGGAAAGTATTCAGACCCCCTTAAATTTTTCACTCTTTGTTATATTGCTACATATGAATTATGAAAACATGAAACACAGATCTCAAGGTAATCTTCACTTTCGATGTCTCATTACAGCTGGCCTTCAGTCTGTGAGTGAACCATGGGTATTAAAAGAAAAACAATCCTCTTACTGCAGCTCGGCTCGGGCTCGGGAAAACCACTACTGCTCTGTTTACTAGAAGCCTTCAGTTTACTAGCTGACAGACATTTCATATTCAGCTCGCCACCAACTGCAAAGTATTGCGCAGGCTGTCTAAAAAAAAACACGAAAACCAAAGCCATTGTACAACTAAATACCAGTTTACTGTCAAAAAAATCATCAAGCGAAAGCGACATACACCTAGCAGTCTATTTATATCTCGTTTTAAACAGAGAAAGACTGTCGCGTGTCTCTGTATAACAACATTGAGCGGCCTTCACGATCTCGTGGCCACTCGGAAATCTCCTCCTGCTAGTATTCATTCCGCATAGACGAGGGCATCCCCCACCCCCACCTTCTCCTGACCTTGCAGGAAAATGACAGCTTCATCCAACATCTTATAATAGATTACATCGCCAGAAATGCAAGGAAACCCGATACAGGACCAAATTCAGACAGGAAAGGTATAGCGAGACAAACACTGCATCAGTGACACATTATAATCTACTAGTCATCCATTGCTTACAAACTGAGATGAATAATTTCTCCTACAAGAAGGTGTATAGAATAAATTTAGACCACAAAGTATCATAATTCCTCTTGGGTTTAAGTGGGATTTCTGTCACGGAGCAGCTCCTCGGTCGCTTTTAAATGGCAGTGCTGGCTAAGATTGCAGTCTGCGCATTTTTGACGATGTTTAAGGTCTGATGCAGTGAAAATGTAAACTATGCATGTGAGAAAGGAGAAAAGAAAAGACATTTTCCTGTAAACTAAGATATTTCAGGTTAAATCGCACAGTTGAATCTCCTTCCCCTGCTCGGAGCATCTGCTGGACAGCTCCACGAACACAAAATGCTGCCTTTGGCTTTGGCTTTATCAAACGTCCTCTAACAATCAAGTCATTGTTGATCCATGACAAATAAGAAAATTAAATCCATACCTTTTCCTGCGCCCGACTGAGCCTCTTTTGGACGTTTTTGGCAAATATGCCCGTCTTTATTTCAGCCATGGCTGCTAGTGCTCTGAAAGGAGAAAGGCGACGCTTCAGCACCAGAGCGGAGGAGAGCGGATGAGCGGAGGGGGAGGAGCACCATTTAAAGACACAGTACGCGCCACAGAGAGCCCTGACCAAACCGCCTGTTTATCAGTATCTACAATAGACTACAGGATATCAAATGCGCTTGAATCGATCATTTTTGGGTGAACATTATTTTCGATTCTGAAAACAAAACATTATACAACCAAACAAAATAATATGTAGGCTAATTTACTTGAGTTTCTGACAAAATGTTTTATTTAATGTTATAAATGAGTCTATTTAAAAATATTAATTTAAATGAAATCATTATGTAAAAAATCATTTGAAATAAATGAATGAAGACTGTTTTGTCAAAAGTTTTTGAACGAATCTCTTTAATGAATGATTCAGACATCAAATACATTTTAACAGTCACTGGTCGCCACTAATGACATAATGTAGCCTAATATTTGAAGCGTAAGGTCAATTACTCTGATCGCGGCTGCCGCAACATCAGAGTCTATATCCGGACTATAAAATGTTATCCCAATACTTATTTATTTAATGTTTGCAATACAGAAATGTAGCCTACTGTAGACTGTTTCAAACATAAAGCTTATGATGCGCGCTGCTCTCTCTGGACTGGATCAGCGGCTGCGCGAAAGCAGGTTTAAATATTACGATGTGATTTCAAAGGTTTAACTGACAACAGCAGAATAACAGTCATTTAGGAATAAGATTGCGTGTGTTTGAATCGAGATCGCGATCTTTTAATGATTTCTCATGCATACATATGAGCCTATATAGCCTAGCCTATAAAGAATGAGAATGTGACGTAACGCCGCGTTGAGTTCTGGGAAACTGCTTTGTTTATCCGCCATATTTGCAGGGTAGCGCTGGCTTTCCGTTATTGAGTTTAGGGCAGTATTTGATTGTTTGTCGCGACTGTGAAAAATGTCACCAGTGTATGTCATCATACTGCATCGATAATTGCAATAGTAACTCTGATCATCGTTCTGAGAGAAAACTGGACAATGCAATATGTTTTTTTGCCTTTTTTATGTGTAAAAACTCCAAGGGAAGGAGGTCGCGGAGAAGACGCCGAATAGTAAATCTGTTAATGTCACTGATTAAACCCACTGACTCTCACTCAATAAAAGAATCACATTGCTGTGTGTTTTTGAAAGTTTTGATTTGGTTGGTTTAATAGTTAACATTTACTTTGTCATTTAAAAGTTTCCAACAAAGAAATGGATCGACTTCTGTCAGCTTGTTGAACACACACTTTTATTTGGACAATGTACCATATGATGGCTGAAGCAGCAGCGAGCGTCCAGCGGGCGACACTGTATTCAAGCTAATCGGGTAAACACTGTAAACCAAATTCTACAAAACCTAAGAGAGAAATGCAGTGCATATCATGCAGTGCGATAAAATAGCTTCTCTTCCCTGCAAACGATACAATGACGAATGAATGGTTGTTTAACTTAAAGGCAAAAACAAAACAAAAGATAAGCATTTATCCGTATAGAGAATGAGAAGTAACCATGGAAACGATAGCGTATCCTGCTAATATGGTGGCGCCTCCCCGAAATGCAATGCGGAGTGAAATGATCGTGACGTAACTCCTCATTCTCTATATATTTTTTGTAGTCTATGTCATATTTGTACCAGACCTCAAAAGTAACAGTAACCTCAAAAGTTGATGCCTCCTCCTCATTGGCAAAGGCAAAGCAGGTGCAGTGTGGTCACGGTCACCCCTACAGCCCCAGTCGTCTTCGTTTTTAAATTAAGAAATTGTCTGTCATAAATTCCATATTTGTTATTTCTAATGTTCTTAATGAAGTACATACTATACTTAATACATAATTTGAAATTCGTGCATATGCAAAATAATTATTTTATTTATTTATTCGTTTATTTTGGCTGTTTATTATCAATTTCACTTTCAAAGGATCTCCTATTATTACTAGCCTATCAAAAATGATAGTCTCTACAATTCTGAGCTGTGTGCTGTCATCTAGTGGTGGAAAAGATAGGCTATCCTGCACAGCCTTGGCCTGGGCATATTACTAGGGTCGGATGCCACGGGCTCTATTTTGGTCAGACTATTTTAAGTTTAAAATTCAAACACGTGTATCTCATTGGTCATATCCTGAAGTCAAACAAAACAGAAAAATGGCAGACAGCTATAGGCCGAAGCCACAACTGTGATGTAAAGTAAACTATAGATTTTTTATTCGACACCATGTGTCTCCATGGTGGTGATGGGGAATTGCTGTATGTCCACACCATCAGTCAACACTGAACAAACGGAATTTAATGGAGATCGGATAATGACCATTGCAACCAGTGCAGGGAACAATTTGGGACTTAATAAAAAGGACACAAACAGGACTCAGTACTGCACAAGGGTGTCATACCTTTACCACAAGGAATCTGATAATGAAGGGTAAGTTTATGCTTATTTGAACTGGTGTTTTTCTTTTAACAATTCACAAAGACACAGAACAATGACAGTGTACAACTAAGACCTGCTCCATTGTTGCCAGATCTCGCTAGAAAAACGGATACAGAACCAGCAAAAAGCAGACTATGCGTTTTAGTGTTTCTGGATAGAGTGTTAAAAGATTTCGGATTTATTTTGTTGTATTTATTGTTGCATAAAATCGCATAAAACACAAAGGATAAATAAATAGGCTATTATTGAATTATAATTAATATTTACAGCAATTAATAATACTCATAATATACATTATTTATAGTATATTAGATTCGATTTATGATCCATATCATAAGCTTTGAAGTGAAGAAAATAAATGTATGATTCTATTATTATGCTATGGGGATGCTAACAAGCCCAAATAAGCGACTTGTGTATCCACAAGAAGGCCCAAAAACTTGAAATGAAGGAATATTTGCTTGAACAAACAAGGTTATCGTCGATTAAAATAAGAGGACATGGCAACAGTAACTAGCAACGCGCCGGAAAACTACAATTCCCACAATCCTCTATTCACAGGAATGATTGTATTCGTAGGCTTTACTTCTTGTAATCTTCCTATTTTGTAGTCCCTGTTCGGCAAGACAGTAAAAGCAGGTAAGTTATATAAAAGCGCCTTCAGCTGTTTTGTCTGAGAATGGTTAGTAAAACATTACATTGATTGTTACTGATGCGGTTATATCACTGATGAGTTTGTGGAGTCTGACTGAATGCGGAAGTGTTCTGTTTGTTTTCTTTTGCTTGTCGCATAACTTGTTTCCATTGTGATGTGCAGAAGTGCAAGAGCAATGTTGTCACCTTCAAGCTGCACGTTTTATAGTTAGTTTAATTTATATTTCCCCTCTGCATCAGCCCGCCATGCAGAGATGCAGGTTGGACGTCTCACAAATGCACGTGTTGTTATGATTCAGGTACGAAGGATGTGCAAAATCACTAAAGTCACCAAGTCAAAACCATGAATAAAACAGCAAAGTCTGCTTGTGATTCTGACCGACAGAGTAAAAAAGTCAAAACGAGTCATGGGTATGCCATAGCACTGATTTCCTTAATGCAAAATATAAGTTGAGAAGTTATAAATGTAATCAATTTTAACAGCTTATATCTAAGCATATGTTATTTCATGTTGAATATAACTGATCCTTCTCTTTAGATCGACACAGGGCACTCAAGGTCAGAAAGCAGATGTGAAGGGCCAGGCAGCTGGAAAAGATGCTTGTTCTCCTGGACCTGAGAGAAGCTCTGAGTCTTCCCACACTATGCAAAAACGTGCTCAGAAGGAGGCCAAATCTACTCATAGTGACAGTCATTCATCCCAGCAGGATCTGATGAAGATGCCGTCTGCTGAAGATGAAAAGGGGTATTGTTCCTGTCAATTCATCTCTTTCTGTGCATGCAGTGTGGCTTTAGATTGTCATACAGTAGGTGCTTTTGGGTTGTGCCACTTTTTTTTAAGTGTTCTTCAAGGCGAAGAGAAAAAACAGTAGATAAAATTAATACTTGTAATTATAATTCTGGATGTCTGCTATTATGTGAAACTGAGGCTAAACTAGGTACATCATGTCAAGGGTTAAGACAAGTAATTTTGGAATACATTTACATTTCATTTGCATTTCAAATTTTCCTTTTGGATTTCACGATCACTTTTAGTGACATGCTTCACTCCGCACCAACCATTTTAGGAAGATGGCCATTTTAATAACGAATAGCTTCTCTTTAGTCCATTTTAGTCAGTTTTAATTTACTAGTTTTATACACTGACAATTCACTATTATGAAATCCATTAAATTTTTTCCCAAATTATATTTTTCTGGATTCCATTTTAATGGTTAAATTTGTAATTAATTGAAACTTGTACAATTTAACAACAGTATATTAAATTCATTAAATTTCTTGCCCTATAAAATGTTTTATTTTTTATAATTCCATTTTTTCCCCCTTCAAAATTCTTTTTCCGTTATAATATTTCTGAACTCCAAATTGTAATAATCAAAAAGCATGTCTAATCGTCTGAATTCATACATAAATGTTGTATTTTTATTTTTTTTTACAATAATTTGACCCTGTGACAGGTTTTATTTTTTCAGAAATGCAAACGCTGAAACGAGCGTCACAGCCTTGAGTTTGTATTAAATGAAACGGCACCATTTAGTCACACAGAGGCACTTGGTACATGCAGACTTCATATTCAAATAGCAGTCTTTTTGTGCTTCACACTGGTCCACACACTAGTAGACACTAGTCCATATCACATTTTGATTCATTGTACAGCCCTACTTTTGATTTATTCATCCAAAATTTGCCAAATTCCATGACATTCCATGTTAAATTTCATTTTTATTAATGGATTCCACGATTCTGTCTGCATTTTCTGCATCACAGAAATCGTAGGTCCCCATGTATTATATACGTATTTCGACCAAGTGAAGTATGCTTTGATATAAATTAATTTGTCTTGCTAAGTAGAAAATGTCACTTGACAAGCAACAACAGTGTTTAGCTTAAAAAAACTTTTCTCATGTGCATCTCTCAATCACAGGCAGCTTTATGTGATGGGCCATTTCTAAATATATGGTTACATGAAAAATATTATGCACTGTTTACTAGATTAAGGAAGTGACACAACTTACTATGCACCACTTTACAATGAGTCTTTGTTGTCTCATAGTGATGTGGACCTGTACAGAGGAGAAGAAGAAATTCAAAAAGAGCTGCAAGACAAGCAGCAGTCAAAGTCGGGTAGTGCTCAGTTTTTGAAGAATGTTCAGTGTGTATTGAAATGTTGTAAGAGATTTCTGTGAGGTTGTTTTTGCCTGAGTTAGAGGTGTCTTTCTTCCCATCAGCGGCTGTTGGTGAGGCCCAGAGAAGCGTGTCAGCTGCCGAAGATCTTCAGACCTACAGTGAGAGAGAATGGAAAGGCAACACCACAAAAAGTCTGCTTATTCGAAAGGTGAGCCTGCTTCTTTCACACTTTACTGTAAGTGTTTCTTTTTCAAAGGGCATTGCTTACACATGCTTCTTTTTTTAGGGATATGAAGCAATAGCCAGTGAGTTCAATCTGCGCAGAGTAAGAGGTGATAACTATTGTGCATTAAGGGCGACGCTCTTCCAGGTGCTCAGCCAGTCAAAACAGCTTCCTGCCTGGCTACATGACTCTGACATTAGCAAGGTAATTTAGCCTTATTGTGCTTAGACGTTAGGCATCCTCACTAATTCTGTACTTGCACAAAGCAGCATGACTTGATCATTATATTTTGCATATCAATATTGAATGTTATTATGTGTTAAATTAATTTGGTGCATTATGAATTTCCCATTATAGTGGCCAAAAGAAATTCAGTCTGATCAGGATTCCATTAAGGAGTGGCAGTTTCCATTTGAAACTAGCAAGAGCAAAGTGCAGCATCTTGAACAATGTCTGGAGCTACTGAAGAAAAGGGTAACATTTAATTTTTTCTTAATTGCTTATGTATGAATATCTATAAACATCACTGTTCAAAAGTTTTGTGGGAAGATGTTTTAAATGTTTTTGAAAGGGGTCTCTAATGCTCACCAATGCTGCATTTATTTGATAAAAAATGCAATATTGTGAAATTTTATTTTAATTTAAAATATACTTACAAATATTTGTTATTCCTATGATGGCAAAGTTGAAATTTTAACAGCCATTACTCCAGTCTTCAGTACCACATGATCTTTCAGAAATCAATCTAATATGCTGCTTTGGTGCTCAAAAAAAAAAAATTGCTTTAATGTTTAAAACAATCAGTGTTGTTCTACTTAACATGTGATACATTTTTTCCACATTTTTTTAATGAATATAAAGTTCAAAAGAACAGTATTTATGTGAACCAGAAATCTTTTGTAACAGTATAAATGTCCTTACTGTCACTATTTATCAATTTAATGCATCCTTTCATAATAAAGGGGGAAAAAAAATTATTGACTCCAAACTTAAGTGTAGTTGCTGGCAATATTTTATTGTTTTACCTATAGTGGCAAGAGACTGTCCAGTGCAAAAGTCTTGAGGAGAGGGAGCATATGTGCCTGCAGGTGTTCAGAGGTCACGATGAGGAGTATGAGCTTCTGGAAGCACTGAAGTTCTTGATGCTGAGGACTGCCATTCATTTGCACTCAGATATGGAGAAGGGCTCTGATGTGCCAGAGTTCTGCTGGCTTCTCTTTGCTCGTGACTCATCCAAATGCCCTAAGACGTTTCTCACCAACCACCTCAGACATGCAGGCTTCAGTGGTGGGCTGGAACAGGTTAGTGCAGTTAAAAATGTATGTTTACAAAAAATCTTTTGCTTTGTTTATTTATGGACCAATCATGTACAAATATTTAACTTCTAGCTTATAATATCTACTGTTGATTCGTTTGATTGCAGTGTTTCAATGGTTGAAGTGATCATATTTTATGAAGGAACCTCTCCTGATGATATAATGTTGTTTAGGTGGAGATGTGTCTCCTGGGTTATTCCCTTCAGCAGACAATGCGGGTTGTTCGGCTGTACAAGTGTGATACTGAAGAGTTTATTACATACTACCCAAACGACCACAAGAAGGACTGGCCTCCTCTATGCTTGCTTACAGAAGATGACAGACACTACAATGTACTCGTCCCCAAAAAGTCCTCGGGATTTGATGCATATGGTAGGCCAAAGTGGAATCCACCTTCAGATGGACAACCAAGCATAACGACACGTCTTTAAAGAGTAAATGGCAATCACACACAATCTACCGAACTCAGGAGTTACAATCCATCATGTTTTCCACATAGCTGTTCTTGAATTGATGTTTTGGGATGTTTTAATTCTTATAAGTTTAAAGATTTGCTTATCCTTATTCTGCTACCTATGTAATTTTAAATAGAAGGATAAAATTGTATGCATTTCTAAATAAATTATGTGCAATAGTTTTATGAGACACAGCTGGAACGAAACATTTTTTATATTTTTTTTATTAGTTGATTATGAAATTAATAGTTTACTAGGTTAATTATTTCTTTGCTTATTACAATAAATTTAAACTGTAAATCTAGACTTGCTCTTCTACTTTTCTAGATTTTTAGGTATTAAAGGGTTAGTTCACCCAAAAATGAAAATTAGCCCATGAATTACTCACCCTCAAGGCATCTTAGGTGTATATGACTTTCTTCTTTCAGACGAATTCAGTCGGAGTTATATTAAAAATTGTCTTTGATCTTCCAAGCTGTTTAATGGCAGTCAGCGGGTGTTGCAGTGCATCAGTCCAAAAGAAGTGAAATAAAGCGCATCCATCCATAATAAAAAGGGCCTCACACGGCTCCGGGGGTGAACAAAGGCCTCCTGTAGTGAATCGAGTGTTTTTGTAAGAAAAATAACTATATTTATAGCGTAATCAATTTAATCTAGCTTGCGCTCACAGTTGTACATGGAAGTAGCTCCAGGCGGATGACGTATGAGGTCAGCTTTGCGCATGCGCCGCTGAGAAGTGACGCACGCGGAAGCGCAGGGGAGAGATCAAAACAAAATGCTGGTCACGAATTAGAAGTACAAAACGAGGATTTGTAAAGAAGAATGTCGCAGGATTTCTATATAAGCCAAGAGGAGACTGGTTTTCCTTTGCTAAAGTAAGGAAACTTTGCTTCCTTTGCTCCTGTTAACAAACGTTGATTTTCACGAGACTCACTGGCGCATGCGCAGCGCTGACCTCATACGTCATCAGCCCGGAGCTGCTTCTGTGTACTACTGTTGGCGCAAGCTAGATTAAAGTGATTATTACGTTTTGAATATGGATATTTTTCTTACAAAACGCATCGATTCGCTACAGGAGGCCTTTGTTCACCCCCCAGAGCCGTGTGAGGCACTTTTTATTATGGATGCATGCACTTTATTTCACTTCTTTTGGACTAATGAACTGCAACACCCGCTGACTGCCATTAAACAGCTTGGAAGATCAAAGACAATTTTTAATATAACTCCGATTGGATTCATTTGAAAGAAGGAAGTCATATACGCTTAGGATGGCTTGAGGTTGAGTAAATAATGGGCTAATTTAAATTTTTGGGTAAACTATCCCTTTAAATTTAGCTAGTTTATTGTGCCATTCAGGTTAAGATCTTGGTGTCCTTCCACTGGTTTCAGTATCTTGTATTGTCTTTTTCATTTGTCATAATTTTAATAGTCTGACAATTTATTACTTTGCTGAGCAATTTACACAGCGTGGGCAGGAAATGAGAAACAGGCACAGCTCAATAATTCATGCAGCATCTGATGAAGCATGCAGCACTACAACAGTCCGCCTCCATCTCAGATTAGTTATTCACTGAAACTTTTTAATTAAATTTTATGATGACGGAGTAAAGAAATGCCAGAAGAGATGTCTCGGAAGTATATGAATACATGAGCCTTTCAATTGGTAAAAGGTTTAGTTTTTGGGGGTGTAATAGCCAAATCAGTTTCAATTAATCTTGTATGGTTTACGTTACATTGTGACAAAAAAAATAAAAGAAAGATCAGCATTAGAAGATCTAAAAAAATATTTTGGTGCATACTTTACTAGCACCTTTATATGCTTCTGACTGGCCAAGTCGTAAAAATTTTTTACGTGCTTTAAAAAATGAATAGCTTTAAAATCAGTCCTGTAATTAATGGGTAACCAATGCAAATGTACTGTATGTTCTCTGCAGCTGCAGCATTTTGTACCAAATGTAGTTTATCAATGCAGTTCTTCTTAGGCAATCCAGTTTAAAATTACAAAAATGAAGGCAAGAGAAAATAAAGGCATGAATCAATATTTTTGCATCATCCAGTGAAATAAAAATCAGAATCGAGCGATATTTCTTAGATGAATAATGTGGGACTCAGTTACAATTTAGGTGAAACTTAAAACGAATTATCTATAATGACAGCAATAAAAAAATGACAGTCCCTAGTCCAGTAGATATTTATGTCTCAGTAATCTCTTCTTCTCATGATTTGTACTAACAAATTTTATTTCATTATGCTATGTGACTTCATGGTGTATTTGACTCAAAGCCCCATCTGTTCCCCAACACAATAGTCAATATTTTACCCTAGCATAGACTATAAGATATTTTCAGCATTTCTGCTATAATTTCAACAAAGTTGAATATTATGAAACTATGAAAAAATTGTTTTTATTAACAGAAACCGAGTGTGTTAATGTTTAATTAACCATGATTTGTTATGTGGTTCCAGATATGAAGAACTGTATGTTCTTCAATAAAAAAAACAATAGTTATTAAGAGGAGAAAATATTTAATTAGTTTGTATGTTCTTTTTAGAATCTTTAATTAGTTTAAAAATAGATCATTTTAGTGTATTAATAGTGAATTCAGGTTAATTGGGACACTTTTATGCCAATAATTTCGAAGGCTATTTGAATTAATTATTCAAATTGCCTTATATTTCAAAGGTAATTTGAATAAACCTGAATGAATTCACCTATTTATTTAATTTAAAGTCATCCTGTGGCCCCTTTTCTGAGTTTGCTGACACCCTAATGGACCCCGGGCCCCCTGGTTGAGAGCTGTTTATTATATATCTATGTGAATTCAGGTTAATTGGGACACTTTTATGCCAATAATTTTATGCCAATGAATTATTCAAATTGCCTTATATTTCAAAGGTAATTTGAATAAACCTGAATGAATTCACCTATTTATTTAATTTAAAGTCATCCTGTGGCCCCTTTTATGAGTTTGCTGACACCCTAATGGACCCCGGGCCCCCTGGTTGAGAGCTGTTTATTATATATCTATTCAATACACATGGCGCACAAAAGGAGATGTTAGTCAAAGTGACATCCTCGGTCACGCAAAAACCTGTACGATTGTCATTTTTGGGTGAACGGTCCCTTTAATTGACAGTCTGTCAGGCAGCAGCGCGTCTCACAAGACTTGCCTGCTCTGCAGCCCCACCTGCTGGCCGACAAATAAGATGTTGTTCGGTTTTCACTGATTCATGAAAGCCACGTAAATTTTGTCTAACGTTTAAGTCTCATTTTGATATTTATTGTGTTAACATTTCATGTCAAATGAACGTGTAGGCCTACACACAGGTAAGATATAAGGACGAAGATTTCATCTCCCTGTGCCGTGCTCATCCCTCTCTAGCAAGCTCTTCTCTGAGAATGAACTCTTATTTTAGACATCTGTGTGTTGTTCAGCAGTGTGTTGTTTTTCTGCACGCAGCAGGTGACGTTTAGAAGAGGAGTGGCTTTTATGCGCCGACCGTCCCCCAAGGATGATGATTTAAGTACAGTTAACCGAGTGGCCATCTACAGCAGAATAGCGCCTGGCCCAGCGACTCCATGCATACGGCTTTATACCTGTGCTGCACTTAATCGCCGCGGCCGATTATATGTATTTATTTTCCTCTCCACTGATGGGTGAACAATGGAGAAGCCGTCAGCAGAAATTTCTGGTGACCCTCCTAGTTTCCCATGCTCCAGATCATTGTTTATGATGCTGTTGTTGTGTAGGAGGGCAGGGACGGACCTGATCTCGGCGGATTTCTGCTAGAAAACACTCAGAACTCGACGGGCTGTGATCGGCCTCGCATCCTTCCAGATCCGAGCAGCTGATGTTGGCGGTGCTGCCGCTCTCCTCCAGGTGAACATGGTGAAATTCCCGGCGCTCACGCACTACTGGCCTCTCATCCGATTCCTGGTGCCGCTGGCCATAACCAACCTAGCCATCGACCTCGGCGAACAGGCAAGTGTGAATGAATTGTGTGTTAAATACAGCGCTGCATGACGTAAGATTGGTGGTGTATCCTTGGAGCTGGACACTGCAGCAATGGCATCCCTCATCCATCCGTGCTCCTCGCTATAAGAGGTCTGTTTATTTGTGGCTTGCGAACATGTAATGCGTTGCCCACATAATTTATAGGATATAGGGCGACCCTGTGGTTTTATTTCTTTTAATGAATCGGTGAAACGGCGGCCCTTGGTAAACAAGGCATCATCACAAACAACATGAGCCGATCAGCTGTGTGTTCGTCAACAGCTGGCCATACAGCGCATCCAATAACGTGTCACACTGAACAATGCAAAAGCAATCTGACTGAGAGTAATGTGCACTTTTGGATGGGCTGATTTTGTTGTCTCCTCTGCGTGAACTGGCCTTGTTTTTGTCAACCATTAACGTATGTTGTGCGCTTACAGTAGTTTTTATAACAGTCATTATGTATAATTGGCTACTAAGACAAATATTTATTGTCATGTTAAACTCAAATATTTGTGATTTATTGAAAATTAACATTTAGAGAAAGACTAATCTGTTTGACCAAACAATGTTTTCCGATATTCACCTTTTTCAGTTAAATCGGTTATCGGTTCTTCGATATTAGGTGTACAAATAAATGAATGCCATTATATAATAATGTATTGTTTGGATAAATATAAAACTTTTAAAATAAAGTAATTTATTCTTCAGCATGAAATGTGTAACTCAATTACATAACAATATTTCAAATATTCATATTGTTTTATTTTTGTGGTAAAATAAAAAGTTTTTTTTTTTTGTGTGTCAAAAGCTAAAACAAAACTTTCAAATTGGTAATAAAAAACTTCGACATAAAAAATATCGGTCACACTTTATTTTAAGGTCTAATTCTCGCTATTAACAAACCATTAACTATGATGTTTGCCTCAATAAGCTACTAATTTGCTGTTTATTATTAGTTAGTAAGGTAGTTGTTAAGTTTAGGTATTGGGGATTAGGGATGTAGAATATGGTCGTGCAGAATATGTGCTTTATAAGTACTAATAAACAGCTTATTAATAGACATGGTAATAATAAGCAACTAGTTAATAGTGAGAATTGGTCCCTATACTAAAGTGTTACCAAAATATCTGTATTGGTATTGCCCATAGTTCTTAAAGTGACAAATTAGTTTTTTTGTTGTTGTTTTTTTTTTTTACAT